CCCCTAGATCTGACCTCTGTCCCCCATATTTTACCTCTGCCCCCCAGATCTGACCTCTATCCCCCAGATTTGGCCTCTACCCCCCCTCGATTTGGTCTCTGCCCCTTTCCCCCATATTTGACCTCTGCCCCCTCACACACACAGAGTTGACCTCTGCCCCATGTCCCCAAAATTGACCCTTGCCCCCTAGATCTGACCTCTGTCCCCCATATTTTACCTCTGCCCCCCAGATCTGACCTCTATCCCCCAGATTTGGCCTCTACCCCCCCTCGATTTGGTCTCTGCCCCTTTCCCCCATATTTGACCTCTGCCCCCTCACACACACAGAGTTGACCTCTGCCCCCCACCCAGATTTGACCTCTGTCCCCATATTTGACCTCTGTCCCCAGATCTGACCTCTGACCCCCCATATTTGACTTCTTCCCCCCCCCAGATTTGACCTCTGTTCTCTCATCACTCACTTGTGTTGTAGCGGTTATGTACCCATCCTGCACGTTGTACCGCCATCCCTTCTCGCCGCACGCCACCTCGCTCTCGTTGCCGTAAAACTCCTCGGGAATCTCGCCCAGCCGGTCCTCGTCGTAGAGCGCGCGTGCGAGCGTGTAGTTCCTGTCCGCGTAACTCACGCAGCGCGCCCGCCGCCGCTTCCCGGTCGGCGTCGTCTCCATGGGAACGCTGAGATTGACGGCGACGTCGTAGGGCACGGCCGCCAGCTCGGCGGCGCCGCACGCGAACTCCGCGGGAGTCTGCGCGATGAAGCTGATCGCGAGGTTGTGGCATCCCGTGGAGGAGGCGATGATGAGAACGAAGATGACCTTGATGTAAAATAGAGTTTGTCTCAGAGGAAGAGTCTATCGGACGAGAGATGGACGAAAAATTCGTCGTTGTAAGTAATTATAACTTATTATGGATCCAACTGAGATCAACTTTATTTTTATGTGAACTATAGAGAGATCCGATGAAATTATTCAATTATTTATTGGCGAAGATCAATACCTTGATCTGCCAGCGTCCGAGACCGTTAATCTTCTCCATCGCTTCATCAAAACTGACTCCTCCTCCGTCTCCTCCGTCACGTCTCTCAGCCAGCGAGAAGACCTCGAGGAAGTCTCCATTAGAGGGAAGGAGGCCGCCCTTCTCCTTCTCGGCGGGGAAGGCAAGCTTCTCCTTCTTGTCAGAAGGGAAGCTGAGGTGATTTTTTTCAGCGGGTCCGAGCTTCTCCTTTTCAGTGGAGAAGCGAACGTTCTCTGGTGGAGGAGGAGGAGGAGGAGGAGAGGGATCGCCGCCGCCCATCCCCGGGGAAGGCTCCTGCGCGTCTGCAGTCATTCCGGGTTCGGATCCCGGTCTCGGATGCCGGATCGTACGAGGTTACCTGAGGCAAGACGATCAGGTAGAAATTATCAAAGCGTTAGATTGATGGATGGATGGATGGATGGATGGATGGATGGATGCATGGATGCATGGATGCATGGATGCATGGATGCATGGATGCATGGATGCATGGATGGATGGATGGATGGATGCATGGATGCATGGATGCATGGATGCATGGATGCATGGATGCATGGATGCATGGATGCATGGATGCATGGATGCATGGATGCATGGATG